GTACTGTTGTTGGGTCTGTCGTACAATCAAGAGCATGCCATCTTGGACAATGATACTATAGGTAAGTAAAGATGAGAAAAAGATTGGGGGTGAGTTTTTAGCAAGGCCTTTGTTACTGAACTAAGGTGTTTCTCTTTGGGTGCCTTTCAGCAGCCAAAACTCAACTGCTCACCACTGGTCCTAGGACAATATACAAAGTAACAGTAACTGGTATTGAGGGAATGGTTTCCCAAAGGTGACAGCAAGACTAAACTAATATTCATCTGGTCTCTTCTCTGAGAAGTAGCCATAGTCTACTAGAGCATAGCAGCCAATTGGCTTAAAGGTATAAAACCCAGAAAACAACTAGGAATGTGTACCCTTGCTCCTTATGAGTAAAGTAACTTCCATCCCTGTTCCCATGAGAAAGTGCTCTCTCTCCTTCTTCCATTTGCTCCTCCACGTCTGGACATATTTAAGGGTTTCTGGTTATATGTGGCCTTATCTCTTTTTTCTCAGACCTGCAGGTCCTCAAGTAGGGGATAGTGTACAAGTAAGGGATAGCGTATTGTTCTGCTGCTTTCACATGTTAAGCACGTCGGAGTCAGAGTCCAGCACCTGCAGTGGAAGCCTGTTTCTCTCCAGTGCTCTCTCTCCTGTGCTCCATGGGCTGGGAGGCAGGATGAGAACCCTGAGCAAGTGTGCCCTCAGTTTGTTCAGTAGATCTACCTTTTCCTCAGGCGGGCTTCTAAGTTCCAGATCAGTGTAAGGGAAGAGGAAATAGGATTAGAAAGAAAACCTCAACCATTCTCAAACACAGCTTTCACAAGACAGCCTAAATAAAATTAATACTTAGTATTTTGATCTACATCTGTCTCCTGTGTTAGTTCTTCATCAGTTAGTAATCTGGAAGGAAGAATGGAGACTAACTGAGCTCAAGAAATGACAAGCAGCTGTTTTAAGGAGGAATGTAAAAGATAAAAAAGAGAAGAGAAATAAGAGCGATGTGTGAAGGAGACAAGTAAATTGGTAAGATTAGGTCCCCATGTGGATTTAGGGATAAAATACATATGGAACTCAAGGACAGCTACCAATTTTCTATGTATGTGATTAGGTGAATGTTGTGTTAGTGCATACATAAGTAGGTTTTTCAATGAAAGAGAATTAATTTAATTTTGAATTTGTTAATTAATTCAATTTTGGATTTTTAAGTTCCTGTGAAAAATCTACATGGAAAAGTTCAGGAAAAAGATTAAACATATGGTTTTACAGCTGGAGTGATGACATAAATTTGGAAAGCAACACATTGTTGAAGTCATGGAGTACATAGAATCCCCTGGGAGGGTATATAGAATGAGAAAAAGAGGGCCATGAACAGAACGCTGGGGGAATACCAGGAGTCTTTTTTGACTCTGAGAAAGAATGGCTCTGAGAAAAAAATATCCAGAGAGACAGAGATGGAAGCAATGGTAGGGATGGGGGTGGTGAAGCACCATAACAACCAGGGGAAGATAGAATAATAATTTTTAAGGTATTATAAACTTAATTTATTTATTCCAGTTGGGATGGAAGAACAGAAGAGGTACATTTTTGGCATTTATTAAAATTAAATTATTTAATTAAAATTTTTAATTTAATTTAATTTTAATTAAAGTTTAAATGTCTTTTAATTCATTTATACATTAATTATAATATCCCAATACTGTAATCCTGTTAAACTACATAATACCTGAACCCGGAAGTTGTTTCAAACTTGATATAGCCAAGATTTTTATGACATTTCCTTCTAATGAAATTTCTTCAAACATGAATCTGATGATACTGGCAAATCTTCACATAGAAAAAATGTATAGTTCATATGAGTCAAATTCTAATATTAGAGAATGTATATTCATCCATAAGAATTGTTAAACTACGTAAGTCTAGAAAATATATAAAGTATTATTTCAGTACCTTTTAAAAAATTATCAATTAAGCAAATGCTTGGAATTTTGGGGCTGTATTTAAAAACTCAAAAGGTGATTGAGGTCAAAAGGTTATTTAGGTCAATCTCCCTACCTCCAGGGAGAAGTATTCTTAAGCCCCTTCCAAGCACAGGTCTCACCTAGTTTATGGCTTTTTATCCACATACCATTTCAGTACATCTCCAAGAGGACAGGAAAATGCATACTGTGACTGAGTTCCTGCTGTGATGGAGCCTCAAATAACTTGGGCTTAGACCTTGGGATCAAGTTGACTTCATAATTTTTCTTCTGAAAAACAGCGGGGTCTTCCTTTCACTGAAAGTTAATAGATGGGCTCAAGAACTTCATGTATTTAACATCTACTATAATGTTGTTCACCCAACCTAGTGATGCCTTTCTCCCTTTAATTTGATTAGGTGACTTGTTTTCTAGCTGACACTCAAAAGGAATGAGGATTGCTGAATGTAAATATGTGGCTCAGTACTTAAAATTAATGGAGTTTTATATAGGATACTAGCATTATTTTTCATTGATTTTTATAAACTTCTTACTAAAGATATAAGCTATCAAAGTAAACATTTAATACCTCACTTATCACATGGGGAATAGCTGTCTATTCATATAAAATTCCTCTATCATTCATACACATGCATACATATTCACACTGACTCATCATATGAGAACTAATTATTTCTAGTTTGAGGTAATAAATTTTTAGAAAGACACAAATTGTATTGCGTCTCTACATCTAAACAACAGAATCATAAAGTATCAATTGATTACTAGCTAAAATTAATATCAAAGACTGACTCATTGACAACTTGTAACCTTTATCCATTTGATTAGAGGATCTTTATAAAGAGAGGATAGAAATGTGAATCAAATGTCAGATTTCTACAGTCAAAGGGAATTGGAAAGCTGAAGCTAGTTCATGAGTTAAGCTGAATTATATTAAATTATCTGGATAACTGCTCCCCAGTTAGCTGATAGGCTCCATGGGGATCAATTTCACTCATCCTCCTCACTACAGGCTTTACTATAGAAAGAAAAGAGTTGAAAATGTAATTAGTTCATAAATTTTTTTCAACACTATACAAAACTGAGAACTAGACTAAATCAGTTGTTACACAGAAGGTGTTTCTGTGGAACGCTGATACACATACACATATATTTCCATACGCTTACTTTTGACCATTTAAATAAAACAATACATTTTTGAAACTCTTCGGTTTGGAGGAAGTTTATTTAAATTGCCCAAATGGTTGCTGGATTTACTAACCCATATGCAATTAAGAAAGAATAAGAAAAGAAAATGGTAAATCAATTTGAGTCAGTAAAATATATACTACATATATTTTCAGTAACTATATAAAGCCCAAATACTTCAAATTTGTTTTTACATTAAAATAGAATTCTTCTGTTCATCCTGTTTTAAAATCAGTCCCATTCAACAGTATTTGCCAGCATATTAATTAGAGGTTTAGTAGAAAGAGAATGAATTTTAGAGGAAAACAAAACATGGTTTTCTGGTTTCCCTTTACTTTCTAGCTGTGTTACTGTGGACTAGTTACTTACCCATTCTATAAAATAGATTTAACAACATTCACTTCAGTCAAATCATAGTTAAAATATAAAAATTATCATTTTTATGGCTGGTATTTTATTTTTCTTAGGTCAGACTGTTAACCCTGACTCTCTAACTCACTTATTTTGCTAGTTTAAATAAAAATTTAAAGTAGTCTTCCAGCCTGGGCAAGACGGCCAAACCCCATCTCCTGCAAAATACCAAAAAATTAGCCAGGCATAAGTGGTGCATGGCTGTAGTTCCAGCTACCTGGGAGGCTGAGATGGGAGGATCACTTGAGCATGGGAAGTCAAGAGTGCAGTGGGCTATGATCATGCCACTTCACTTCAGCCTGGGTGATGACAGAGTCAGACCCCGCCTAAAAATATAATTAAATAAAATAAAGCAGTCTCGAACTGAGGTGTATGTAAAGTGCATATCAGAGAGTCTGGCATATAGTATGTGCTTCATAAATGAATGCTACACATATTTATTAGTTTTAAATAAAGGAATTATGGTTGGCATTTCCTTAATTCCATAGACTTTTACATAAGATCTCACAACATTAAAAGATTCCTGTTTATTTATCTAATACCTGAAATTTTTGTCCTATTTCAAAGAAAGTGTTTGGTCTTCCTTTGTTATGAGGCATTCACCACCCCTCTGATCCATCACCATTTGTGTACTAACACCCACACTGAGAATCCAATCACCTCAAGAACCATAAAGTGCTTATATAGAAAGACTATGGAAGTCACAGAAAGAGATATCATATTACTATGAGAGTGACTCAGATGTTAGGCAATCAACTAGTCATTTGAGTAGCAGATCTCAAAAAATAGTGTGATTGATTTGTTTTCCTATTGAATTAAATCATTTTTGGAGCCTTTTACACATATAACCTTAACTTCTACAAATAATCCCTATTTTAATTACAGCACCAATCACTCTACAGTAAAAAAAAAAAAAAAATCCCCAAACCATACAAAATATAAACTATAGAAATTAGAGCCAAGAGGGATGACAAAGGACTTAAATTTTCATTTCAAATATAATTAATTCTAGTCTCAGAAAGTTGAAATTCATAAATGTAGAGATTGAAAATTAAAAAGTCATCTTGATAATACTGAAAATCAATATTCAGAAGGAAAACATCAGAAGTCCTTGTTTTCTATAAGTCTAATTTTCAGCTGTATCTACAAGTTGTTCTTTCTCACTTCCATTTTTTTCTTAGCCCCTTTTACAGATGACTGTATCTCTGAGATGTGCTAAGTGCCATAGGAGACATAAATATGAATTAAGTCAGATGAGACATGTACAACTATGATATATCCATTTTTTTTTTTAATTGAAAAAAGAAAAAGACAGAATGAAGACAACCATTTTCCAGGTCCTATCCATCCTCATATGGTTAAATACTCCCAGTCTTGATTCAGATAGACTTTGAACCCAAAGTTAGAGAATGTAAAAAGATTATATAATTGTTTTCTTACTTTTCTTTCCTACTGCCCAGCTGGCGAGCTGTATATTGATCCCCATAGTCAATTAATACCAATTGTCGAGAAAAGACATTCACTTTGTTGCCTATAAATAAATCTTCCAAGTGCAGGCTATCATATTTGGTCCGCTTTAAAAAGGTGCGATGATTCTTTACATCATGCTAGAACCAGACACAAGAATATAATAAACAAACAAACAAAATTTATGAATAAGGAAAGTTAATCTTATCATAAGGTAGAAATAATTCTTAATTCTGTCTTATCAAAGATAAGTTATATTCTGTTTCTTTTTTGTTACAAATATAAATCATAATTTTTAATTACTTCTATATTTCTGAATCCAATCTGGTAATAACATAAAAGTTTTTTATTACACATTTAATACTCTTAAAACCCTGAATAGAAAGATTTGTTTATTACCAAATCATTTCAGTAGTCCTTACAAAATGCTAAAGAAAGAGTCATACACCCAAATTTCTGCTTTTTTGTGTACACAAAATCCCAATACCAAAAAGATCCACTTGTTAAAATTGTGTTGCCAATGAAGAAACACAAAGAAATAAACAGAAGCCTCTTAGCTTGATCCTCTCAATTTGACTTTTTGTAGCAGTAACAGCTTTCAATAATGAGGACATATTTATGACCATAATAATCCTTATCTATAATCACTTATTGGTTATTTCTTATCCAAAACATGAATAATCCCATTTCAGTCTTTTTTTTTTCTTTTCTTTTCTTTTCTTTTTTTGAGATAGAGGCTCATTCTGTAACCCAGGCTGGAGTGCAGTGGCGTGATCTCAGCTCACTGCAACCTCCACCTCCTGAGTTCAAGCCATTCTCCTGCCTCAGCCTCCCGAGTAGGTGGGATGACAGGCATGTACCACCACACCCGGCTAATTTTGTGTATTTTTAGTAAAGACAGGTTTTCACCATGTTGGTCAGGCTAGTCTCGAACTCCTGACCTCAAGTAATCCGCCCACCTCAGCCTCCCAAAGTGCTGGGATTACAGGCATGAGTCACCGTGCTCGACCCCCACTTCAGTCTTCTAACAACAACAACAAAAATTTCCTATCTTTGACATTAAAAGTAAAGGCACAAGTTAACTTCTTATATTGAAATTATAATGAATATCTTTAAAAAGAATTTCCATATATGTACACACACACACATACATATAAATGTGTTTTTAAAAAGCAATTATATAAAAAGCAATGGTTCCCATGTTCACCCCCTTTGCCGACATTCAAGCAAAGAAAGACTTATTTACCATTTCAACAGATCCATCCCCTGGGTAAAATAAAAGCTCATAACGTCGAAGAAGTGAAGCATTTGGATCATACCACTCTGCAATGAAAACGAATCTTTCACTATGACTCTGCAAAGAAAGAAGAATTTTAACACTAACATATAAAGAACAAGCACTCTCCTGTAAGTCACACAAAATGAAAGCAAGAATTATCAATTTGCAAAAAACAAACTTACTCCTACCTATTGTATTGAATTTTTCTGCTTTTCAACAAAATATCAGTTATCAACACACCCTCAGAAATATTTCCTTTTAATTTCTCATATCTCAGAGATGACTTATGGATTGCTTATTACTTTATAGCCATCTAACCATCCTGAGTAAATTAACATTTTCTGAGAACATGAGCTCCTGATTTTACTGTGGTAGCAATTCAGTCCTTCTGAAAGCAAGTTTACATATAGACTATCAATAAATTAATATAAGCATACATTTCTGAGGATAGCTCTCAATTATATGAAGTTTTGACTTCCCTAAATTTGAGAATCTAGTAGTATCGGAATATTACCATTAAAATTATAGTAAACATCTTTTTTCCTTAGTAATTACATATGATAGTATCTTTTTATAGAAATAGAGAATGTGTTAGTCTAGGACCTCTGAAAATAAATGTGAAGACAAGATTGAACATGCAAGAATTTCATTAAGGAAAATTCCTGTAATATAAAATGAGGAGAGAGCCAAGGAAGACTAGAAAAGCTGACAAAAACAATGCAAGTTTGACACAGAGTGGTGGAGAGATGCAAGGAAGGTTAAGTGGAATCATCCCAGATTGCTACACCCTCTAAGGAAGGTTCAGTAAGCCCATCAGGAAGTGCTAGAGCCAGGTGACTCCCAAGGACACGGAGGGGCCAGCTTTAGTATCCCTGTTCCTCTCAATCACTGGCTGGGAGCAGCCTTTGGGAAACAAGTGCTCAGCACAAAAGTAGCAGTGGATTTCAGAGAACAGCAGCTGGGACCCTTGGTCATTTAGGTTGCCTGTAGTTGGAGGTCTGTGAAGTACATTCTTAGGGCTACCACAGAGAGCAAAAAATGAAAAAAAATAAGTCAAAGATGGGTCCTTTTCCCTTGACTATCGAGCAGGATTTCCCATTATATATGTTAGTAAAAATACCCTCGCCCCAAAGGCCCTTCATTATAATAAGCAAATAAAAGCATAGGGAAGAAGGGAATCTAGGAGTTTTATTGCTAATTCTGGATTTGCCATCTGATGCTCTGGTTAGGGTAAATTTGGGGATTCTTTTTATGTTAATAATTGACCTATAAATTCTAATGGTAGAAGTTGTATGTCTTGTTATGTTTATAATATATCCATAAACTATAATGTAGATGAGTAGTTTTTAAGACACTTTTATTTTTCCCACAATCATCCAAAGACATATTTAAACGATGCTGATTACTCAAGAGAAAATAAATGTAAAATAAGAGACATACTATGACATTTGCAAAAGCCTTTCATCATACGTATTTTTCATATTGACTATATAACAATACAGCTTTTTTGAGTTTAGGTTTCACTGTGCATTCTAGTATTGTACTCACTTACAAATAAAAATTTAAATATTAGTAAATTATTGAAATTTTTACTATCTATAATAAAATATTTACTTAAATACATAATTGAAATGTTGCCTTCACTAAAATAAATATGAAATAGAAGAAATGACACATCTAACTAAAGCAAATGAAAAATCAATGAAACCTGGTACTTCCATTTATCCACGTAGCCTATCCACCAAACCTGCCAGCCACACTCTTTAATTCTGAATTGGGCAGCAGAATTTTGCACTATACTCTATCCAGAAAACAGTTTTAATACAAAGAAAATAAACTGAAGAACTATTGCTTCTGGCTATGACAAAGTAGCTCATAGCAAACCAATGCTACTTCCAAGAACAACTAGAAAAGTAGGATATCAAAGATTTGGAGAGCTTTTAAGGCAGCCAGGGTATGAGGATCCAAGATCCAGAAAGACAGGAAGCCCACTGAAATGAAACCAACATTCACTGTGTTGTTTTTACTCGTAAGACACGTGCTGAGTCTCAAGTCAAGTAGGCAAGTGACTGAGAAGCCTAAGAAGCTGGTAGAGGGAGCCCACCAAGGGGCAGAGAAACAGGTACAAAAGTGAGCTCAAACCTGTGCTTGTTCAGTAGAGTTTTTGGAAACGAACTCCCAAGTCAGTGCTGTTTCCTCTGTGAGAAAAGGTTTATTACTCCAAGTACAAATTATATTCAAACTTGATTTAAACTTAACTTTCTGGTTTACCTTTACAGTAAAAACTGTGTTTACTTCCCAGAGTTAAAAGATATATCTAGAGATATAACAGTGGTACATCTGCACTTGGGATAAAACATCACAGGTTAATCTTTCAACTACCTGCCTGACACATATGCACACACACATGCACACTTACACACACCAAAGCCACCTTTAAAATTTAAAGAAAATTTACTTTTCAGCTTTGTTGAGCCAAATCTAGAAAAAAAGAGGAACTTGGTTTCCTTTTGCTTTTTTTTCCTCAAATGATATTAAAGCTATATATCATTTTGTTTTTAACTCTTCACTTTATGGATAAAGAAACTGAGCTCCAGAGAATATAAATGACTAGAATAAGGTCACAGAGCTGGTTAACAACTGAGCCAAAACTGGAAACTACACTTTCTACGACTCAGATATTTCCATATCACTAACCTTCCAGGGCCAACTCAAGAGGGAGAAACACTTTAGTAGCATATAGATACACCTTCAGCTGTTTGCCACAGATGCTCTGATGAGAATGTCACAACCTAATGATTATACAGACAATCATTAGTTCCTTCTTCCTTGAAGATTCCAGCTTCTATCAAAAGTAATTTATGGGGAGCATTTAAAGATTACACTGCATCAAAAACAGACTTTCTTAAAGAAGCCAAATCATTTTTCCTCTTTTGAACATTTTAAATATAAGTTATACATAATAAAAGAGTTGATCCCTCACACATAATCACACTTTGTTCCAGAAATCTTAAAGTCTTAAAGGAAGATGTGCATTATTATACCCAGAAGTCTTGAAGTGACTTGAACTGGACAATGTGGTATTATTGTACCCAAAAGCCTTAGTATCTTAAAGTCTTAAGGTCTCTGTCTATACAGAGAGAACTCAATGGTAAGTAATGTAAACAATTTTTACATTGTAACATGCATATATGTGTGTGTATATATGTATGTTATTGAGTGTAATATAAAATTCATATGTTTTATAACATAAAATAGGTGATTTTATGGAAATTTTGACCAATATTGGAATTGCAAGTGAAATTATATTTGAAGACTAAGCAAGTCCTTAGTGAAATAAATCACACCACTACCTCTCTCTGCTACTGTTTAAAGGAAGGCCCAGCTTTACAATGGATCATATGAAATTAACAATTTTTTCCATATAGATATACTTAAAAAAATCCAATCTCTCAGTTCCAGAGTGAGTTTAAGCTTATGTTACCAAGCAAAATTGTACTTTGGCCTCACATATTTCAATAATATTGATCAGAAAGCCATTCCATTCCTGATGATACTTTGATCATCAATCAACAAATACCAACTGGGCCTGGTACTGCTAGTATGCTGAGTGCAATAAGCACGCCAATCTGGTAAGTCTACTGCTGCTGGTGCTATTGCTGCTACCATTTGCTGGCAGCCTACAGCAAGTGACATGGCCCTGAAATGTGTGGCTTAAAGAGAAGATCCAGGAAACTATAAAGGGTTTTTTTGAGGGAAATTATGGAGGAATATTTGAGAGTCCAAAAGACATGGGCAAGACTTAATCTCTGTAAGCCTCATTTTCCCCATCTGAAAAATCGAAACAGTACTTTCCTCATAAGGTAGTTATGGGGATTAAATGACTTAGTTTACATGAAGCACTTAAGATTTCTGTTGCCTATGTCTCCCAAAGCAACGATGGTGGTTTATAGGTCCACCTGTGACTTTAGAGCTGCATTGCACACACTCATCTCCCTCACTGATCTTTTTCTGACATACAAGAAGAGCATCTCTGGATTTGTGATGATGCAGTCTCAGCTGCAACTAATCCTAGGTAAACAGTTTTTTAAAGGTCTTTGTAGAAAAAATCAGAATGAAGGAAAAAGGGATTTATGATGGACAGAAAAATGACCAAAATTATATTTATAAATGAAAATAAAAACTACTGAACATATAATACTAAGTAAAATTTTGTAAAGGATATATAATATTAATAAATCAGAGCCAAAGTACAATTCTTACCTTTTGGGGAGTTCAAACAGTTATAGATCTGTTTTTGTCAATAAAAATTTTAGTAACACTTTTCTTTTTAAATTTTATAACACTATCTGTTACACATTCATCATTAGTTTTATAGTAGACTTAGGGTGCCCCTTAAAGCAGATACAGCTTAGATCATAATACCCAAGTCTTTTCAAATACATGGAAAGCCTTCCTAAGAAGGATGGGTACAAACATGCCAAAATTGCAAAGACAACAGTAAATACCTAACTTTTCAATGCCCAGACACAGATGAACATCCACAAGTATCAAGATCATCCAGGAAAATATGAACTTACCAAATAAACCAAATAAGGCACAAGGAACCAATCCTGAAGAAACAGACATGTTTGACCTTTCAGAGTATTCAAAATAGCTCTGCTATATGTTTCAAAATCAACCCTGGCTAGGGGCCTGAAGCAAACCAGTTTAGTGCTAACAACAACAAAAAAATCTAATCTACTTTATTTTCACTCTACCTTCTCTCCCACACATTCCTTATTTCTCACTCTACTGCTCCAAGCTTCAACTTCTTTGTTCCTAAATATTTTATGAAAAAGTTGAAAACACTTTTTCTTCTAGATAAGCAATGTTTGTGTTTTCTTAATGTCATGCTGTGGTTTGAATTTTCAAATTTCATGAAAATTTGTGTTTCCTGGAAAAAAAAAAAAAACCTCTGCTAAGGAAACCCAAGAAATTCAAGATAACACAGAGCAGAGAAGAAATTCAGAATTCCATCAGATAAACTTAACAATGAGATTGAAATAATTAAAAAGAATTGAGCAGAAATTCTG